TTTTGGGCATGAGTCTTCTTATGTTTATCTGTCCATCTGTCTCCTTGGCCCTTCCTCCTTGGGCTCCCCTCCCCTGCTCCTGCTGATTGTATGCAGTTCCCAATGACTGGTGTCTGTCACCTCCTCCCCACCCCCCCCAACCCAGCCTCTGCCAGATTTCTGAGCCACTCTAGGCTCGGTGCTAAGTTTTACAAATATCATTTCTTTTAATCCTCAAAATAACCCTATAAGATAGGTACTCTTATCCTGTCAATACATGAAGTATGCTGGTAGCCTCAGGGCCTTTGCACTGCCTGTCCCGGCTGCCTCTGGAGTTCTGCTGGATCTTCACGTAACTCATTCCCTCACTCCTTCAGGTCTCTGCTTCGATGTCACCTTGGCACTGAGGCCTTGCCTGACCACCCTATTTGAAATAGCTCCCCCACCCTCACACTTCTTAACCTCCTTTCTCTTTATTTTTCTCCCTCTTATACCATCTGACATACTCTACTTATTTGTTGACAGTCTCCTTCCACTGGAATGGAAGGTCTAAGGGGCAGGGGTGTTTTGTTTCCTACTGTTCCACAGCATCCAGAACAGTGTCTGGCACATAGTAGGTACTCAATTTTCCATTTTATGAACAAAGATCTTAAGGCTCAGAGAGGGTAAGTAACTTGCCCAAGGTCTGGGCAGTAAGTTGCAGAGCCGGACTTGCGTCCAGAAGTGTGTGACTTTACATTTCCGCCAAGGACAGTTGTGGGATGAGCTCAGTGAAGGAGGCTGGTCACGGGGCTGGCCCACCAGCTGAAACACCTGGGTCTCTGGAGACAGATGGGTCCCCAACAGGATACAGCCAGCCAGTGTGAGGGGCCCAAGGGAGCAGGAAGCTCGAAGGAGCAGCACTGTCCTTCAGAGAGGCTAGGACCCTCCTGTCCAGGGTGGCGAGACCCTCCTGTGTCCTCCCAGCTGGCAGGAGAGGGGCTGCTGCTGGCCGAACTAGTCCACACAAGCGGTTTTCTGCTTGGGCAGTTTTGGTTTTTGTTTTCTTTGGCTGCACCGTGCGGCATGCAGTATGCCAGTTCCCCCTCCAGGGATCGAACCCACGCCCACCGCAGTGGAAGCGGAGAGTCTTAGCCACTGGACCGCCAGGAAGTCCCTGCTTGGGCAGTGTTGACTTCCAGCAGAATCCATGCTTCTGTCCCCACACAGTGGAAGGAACGGACAGCTTCGGCCATGGGAACCAGGCAGGTCACTTCTCCCCAGGCCTCAGTTTCATCACCTGTAAAACAGCAGAAAGGGAACTGAATTCAATGACCTTCCGAGTCCCTTTCTCTTCTGTGAAGCAAAGGCTTTGTGATATTTTGGGCTCCAGATCCAACTCGTCCTCAGAAGCTGTGCGCGGGTGTTCACGGAGGCCCCCTCGCCTCCTCAGCTCTGTCACCATTTATTGAGCACTTACTGTATGCGAGGCACTTGCTGTGTAGAAGCTCATTTAATCCTACAGTAACACTACTGGGGGCGCTAGTAGTGTCCCACTTTGTAGCGAGGAAACAGGCACAGAGTGCACCGTTTCCCTGGCTGAGTAGCAGTGCCGGGATGAGGCACCCAGGCAGCTGACCCCAGGGCTCCTTAGCTCTCCTTTGCCCTCAGTCTCAGCTCCCCGAGGCTGCACAGCCCCATGTGTGGCAGGGGCCGATGGGGAGCGCTCTGAGGGGCCCTGCCAGCCTCGCAGGATGGGCCAGGGTTGGGGGGTGGGGGCACTGGATAGGAGGCTCAGGTGTGAGGCCTTGACCTCTAAGCTGGGCGATGCTGCTGCAGCCGCCGCCTCCTCGCTGGTCCCTTTCAGGTCCCAGTCAAGGGTTGAAAGCAGAATGAAAGCAGTATCCCTGCCACGAAAGGGAAAAGCCCCGGTGAAAGACACCGATTGCAAGCAGGGCCACCACTTACAAAATAACTTGGCTTGGGGAATAATTTAGGGCCCTGAAGGGGTACCTGTAACTTCGGGACCCACCTGGGACAGCCTGCCAGAGCACAGGCCACTGCATCTATCACCGCTCGGCCTTAGGTCTACCTGTCTGCTCAGGGAGTGAGGGCTTCCTGGGACCATCCAGGAGGGGCCGCAAGGGAGACTGAGGCCCCATGTAGGTTTCATCAGGGAGGAGTGGATTGTCCCCATCTGTTTGGTCAGAGAGGCCAAGAGGAAAGAGCTCTGAGCTGTGCGTCAAGAGACCTGGCCTCAGTTTAATCCTCAACAAGTCATTTGCCCTGTCTCGTGCCTCTGTTGCCCCTGAGAAATGGACACGTGTGGCTCCCCTTTCCCTGTCCGCATCCTCTGAGAGGGTGGCAGTGAGGGGTAGAAGTAAATAGATGGGATGGTTCTGTGTTTTAAAAAAAAAAAAAAAGAGTGAACACTGCAGGAATTCAGGGGGTTGTTCCCTAATGCAGGAGGGAGGAGTGGTTTGCACCCACTGGGCCTGCTGCAGAAGGAGCCCTTGGGGTGGATTTGAGGAAGGCACCTTGGCCCTGCTGGTGAGAGAGTGGCCCTGGCCACAGCACCCGCCCTGCCCTCCCCTCCCCTTCCCTTCCCTCCCTGTGCCCTCTACTCAGCCCCTTGGCAGCTCTTCCTGAACTTGTTTTTCCAAATCACCAATTAACTTCACGCTGGGCTCCCAGGTGGGCCAACTCTGCTGGCTAACTTTTCCTCAGAAGAGCACCAGCTTCTGCTTCCCAGGCTTCCTGGCAGATCTGGGATGTGCTGACCCCATCCCTTACCCCAATGCCCTCTGCTTGGGAGGGCGGTGCCAGGACTCGGGGTTCCCAGCATCACCGTGGCCACTGGACAGGTGCCTCCACCGGCTCATCTCTGGATGGCCCTCGAGAGCCCATAGGCTGGAGCTATTTGCCTAATGCCCATGTCAACCTGTATTGTCTTGACAGCCCATTTCTCAGGGGAAGAAAACTGAAACCAGCAAGGAAACTTGAAATTCACCTTCATGGGGCAGGGGGGAGAAGCAGGCAAGAGAAGCTCCAGGCAGAGTTGTCAAGTGGAAAAGCGTGTCTGTGGTCTGCTACCCTGCTTCTCCTAACTTGCTGTTATCTGATCAACCTGTCCGTGTTCAAGTATAAATAAGTCTTACTGTGTGGCGAGTGTCTGTCTCAAGCCAAAGGTACACATTCCTGAGAGTGAAATAGCAGTCATCAGGGAGCTGGCTGGGAGCAGTATTGACAATTCAGAGAAGACTTTCCTGGGTCTGTGAATTGACCCTGCCTGGGAGGTGTGAAGAGAAGGTACGGCCCCTGAGTTAAACAGTGCTGAGTTCAAGTCTGGTTTCCATCCCTTCCAGGCTGTGTGACCTTAGGCAAGTATATAACCTCTCTGATCTTCAGTTCCTCCTTTGGAAAATGGGATAATGGGGCCTACCTCACAGGGAGGACTGAAGGTGACAACACATGTAGAGTGCCCAAGTATGCCAGGCACAGAATAGCCGGGTAATGAATGTTCATTCCCAAAGTTCCCTCCTCCGACTCGCTCCTGCTCCAGAAGCCCTTTTATGTGCTACTTCTTGCTTTATTTTCCCAGATCCCCCTGTATTCCCCACTGGTGTTTTGCAGTACTAAGAAGGAGTTGTGCCCACCCACCTCACCCGTCTTGGTGCAGACTCGCAGGGAGGAAAGCATCTCTGAGAGGCATCATTAGACGGGGCAATGCCATGGCCAGGTGGAAATCAGAGTGGGGCACGCAATGGGGGTTGCCAAGGGGTCGTGGGGCCACAGTCCTCCCTCATCTATCAGCTCAGCCCGCTGCTCAGGGAGGAAGCCCATCCCCACCCACCAAGCAGGACAGACAACAGCAGGGGGCATGGACTCCAGCAAGGAGCACCCTGACAGTGGTGAATGGCATCACATGAATAACAGATGAAGTCTCCGTAATTGGTGTTATTACACATGCATTTCATCTCCATTCATAATGATTGGACACTTAAACCCAGCCGTTCCTCTGCTGAGTGCTGCTGTCACCATTCTAGCCGAGATCCCAGCAGCTGTCCAGATCAGCTGTTGCCACACTCTGATCCCAATGGGTGCAGTTTATTTTTTGTTGGCGCTCAGTGTCCCAGGAAATGTCAGTTCTCGGGAAGGGGAGGGTGGCTATTCTGGGCAGACTACCCTGTCTCCTGCCCCGGAGCAGGCTGTCTTTCTTCAGACGCTTCTCACTGTCTGGGCAGTCGGCTCAGACATCCTAGGGTGAGAGGCAGGCAGGAGGGGCTGGGACTTGGGGTTGAGGAGGTGAGTCATGGCCGGAGCTTAATAGGTAGAATGCCAGCCCCCTGCCTCTAGGCATATCCCTTAATGTAGTGGCCCTTGCAATTTAGTGTGTATCAGAATTACCTGGAAGATTGTTGAAACGTTACTGGACCCTCTGCCCAGCAGTTGTCATTCAGTAGGTTGGGGTGGGGCCCGAGGCTTTGCATTTCTAACTAGTTCCCAGGTGATGCTTACGCTGCTGGTCCAGGTCACTTTACTGCCCTAAAGCCTAGTTACTTGAGGTGTGGTCTGTGGGCAAGCAGCCTCACCTGAAAGCTTGTTAGAAATGCAGAATCACAGGCCCTGCCCCAGACCTCCCGAGTCAGAATGGCATTTTAACAAGGTTCCTGGAGGATTTATACAGCCATTACAGTTTGAGAAGCCTCAAAGCACGATCAGGTTAGAGGTGGGCAGAACTAGGCAGTAGGCAGGGCCAGGCAGCTATAGTCCTCTGTTCAGTTCCTTCCAGCTAAAGGCAGCCTCTAACTTCTGTGCACCATGACAAGGATTGGGACGTACTGCCTTAAAGCACGCAAGCAGAGGGATGAAGACCCTTTGGGGAGGGAATTCCAGCCCCTGACTGTGTACCTTAATCCCACCTCTCACCACCTAACAGACTGCCTGGTGACCCACGGCCCCTCCCTCTACGGGCCGAGGGCCCAGTCCCTGCGGGTGCATCTGTCCGTGACAGCTGCCTTCACTCTCCTCCCCGCCCATAGGTGGTGGCCTTTGCCTCTCTCTTCTTCATCCTGGTGTCCATCACCACCTTCTGCCTGGAGACGCACGAGGCCTTCAACATCGACCGCAACGTGACGGAGATCCACAGAGTGGGGAATACTACCAGTGTGCGCTTCCGGCGGGAGGTGGAAACGGAGCCCATCCTGACCTACATCGAGGGAGTGTGCGTACTGTGGTTCACGCTGGAGTTCCTGGTGCGCATCGTGTGCTGCCCCGACACACTGGACTTCGTTAAGAACCTGCTCAACATCATCGACTTCGTGGCCATCCTGCCCTTCTACCTGGAGGTGGGGCTGAGCGGCCTGTCGTCCAAGGCGGCTCGCGACGTGCTGGGCTTCCTGCGCGTCGTGCGCTTCGTGCGCATCCTGCGCATCTTCAAGCTTACGCGCCACTTCGTGGGGCTGCGCGTGCTGGGCCACACCCTGCGCGCCAGCACCAACGAGTTCCTGCTGCTCATCATCTTCCTGGCCCTGGGCGTGCTTATCTTCGCCACCATGATCTACTACGCGGAGCGCATCGGCGCCAGGCCTTCCGACCCGCGGGGCAATGATCACACCGACTTCAAGAACATCCCCATCGGCTTCTGGTGGGCCGTGGTCACCATGACGACGCTGGGCTACGGGGACATGTACCCCAAGACGTGGTCAGGCATGCTGGTGGGGGCGCTGTGTGCACTGGCCGGCGTGCTCACCATTGCCATGCCCGTGCCTGTCATTGTCAACAACTTCGGCATGTACTACTCTCTGGCCATGGCCAAGCAGAAGCTGCCCAAGAAACGGAAGAAGCACGTACCTCGGCCGCCCCAGCTGGAGTCACCCATTTACTGCAAGTCGCAGGAGACCTCGCCCAGGGACAGTACCTACAGTGATGCCAGCCCCCCTGCCCCAGAAGAGGGTGTGGTTGAGAGGAAACGGGCAGGTGAGCTTGGGGGTTGGGAAGGAAAGCCACCTCTCCCCCAGTGGCCAGGGGAGTTCCCAGGGGAAACTCAGCCCTTGGAACTTGGGATTGTGCTTTTATTGCTCTGGGCTTCCCGAAATATAAGGCGTGCCTTTATGAGGGCACGGTATGGAGGCTGAATATCTATTCTCTGATAGCTTCCTGAACATCAGGCTCCGTGGAGTGAGTATCCCCCTAAATTTAGGCTGCTCTGGGCAGTGCGTGGGGCTGTAAATTAGAAGCCTGGGTTTCTAATCCCTTCTTGGCCATTGTGCTGTGTGCCCACAGGCCAGTTACTCACCCTCTCTGGGCATAGACTCCTCACCTGTAAAACGGGAATGCTGTCAATGTCTTACCCCGACTTTGACGAGACCCAGATGGATGATGGCCGTGAAAGTGCCTTAAGAAGTTAAAAGCACTTTACAGACATCAGGCACTGTCTTTATTAGCTGGAGAGCCGGGCAGCTGTTCTTCTGAGGAGAATCAACACATGAATCATTTCTTTCCAAACGTTCCAGCCTAGTGTCTCTTGGCCTGATAAATGTGATAACGTAATGGCAGTGGGAGTCTGCCTTCTGTTTGGCACAAGCTAGACTGAGTCCTGGGCTCGGGGTTTAACATGGGACGGAAGGGAACCAAGAGGGAGCAGCCCAGGCAGTGTTGGGAGAGGGGAGAGGGAAGGTGGAAGAAACTGGTAGCTGCATCCTGGAACGGGAGGACTTGAGGGTCTGAATCGTGCTCTTCAAGGATGAGAAAGGCCACCCCAGGAAAGCTTGCTTCTACCTGAGTCAAGAGTGAAAGGAAATTGGCTTCACCCACAGCAACGTGAAGTTAGGTTGGAGAGTGGGAACCCATCTGTTAGGTACGGGATGGGCTCCTGAGGGAGGTGTGGGATTCCTAGCATGGGGGGGCCGTCAGATGCCAGGCCGTTGGGGAGCGGGGGGATGGGGTGGTGCCAGGAGACTAAGGTAGCAGCTCCTGTCTCGGCTCTGGGGGCAAAGTGGGACTCGTCCTTGTGGGGAGGTGCCTGACTTGGGACATTCACCTGTGGCCTGTTGGTGGGTGCCCATCCTACGTGCTGGAGCCACTCACTCCCTGGGGTCGTTCAAGGGCCCGGGTCTTTCAAAGACCTTGATGGAACGGTACCCATTAGGCCCCCCTCTTCTCCCCCACCATAATGGTACCCTCTTCCCCAATCCCTGAACATAAATCTCCCAGCCAGTACCCCAGGGAATTTCAGCTCTACCCTGAGGTCCATTCAGGGCTCAGAGGGTAACTTAATGTCAAAATGTACAAGTCCCTAGGCTGGCTCCGCAATACCTACGGCGCCATGAGCCGTTCCTTAGCCTGACCCTAACTGCTCGGTCACAGAAAGGGCATTCCTGGCCACTGCCTTCAGACCAAGGAGTGCCCCTTCTCCAGATCCCAGGGCTCAGCTTCATCTGTGCTGCTGCGTGCCTGGCGGAGCAGGGGTGGGACTAGAGACCACAGCAGTAGGAGCTGAATTGCAGCCTCTTCCCCTCGGGGTCCTCCCCAGACACAGGGGAGCCCCGAGAGCACAGGGCTTTAAATCCTTCAGGCACTGACTCTGGCTTGGATGCCTGGCGAACAAGTGCCTTCGGGTGGTCCAGGAAGACAGCTGCGGACGCCACACTAACAGTTTAGCCCTGGCAGTGCTCCCCTCACCCCAACAAGCCAGACATTCTCCTAGGGAATGCAAACTCACCCGCGTGTCAGCCTGAGCCGGACCCAGGGAGGAAGCCGACTCTGCTGCCTGCCTTGGACTGATCTCAGAGGGCCAACTTGGGGAATCCCTGCTTTTAGGGTATCTGTGGCCCTGGCCAAGGCTGGGAGGGAAGCCCGCATCCTGTCCCCTGCCCCCCAGGACCAGACCCACTCCCTGGCTCCGGCAACACTCTCCCCTCGGGTTGGGTAAGTGATGCTTTAGGTCTGGGATCAGCCCTCATGCAGCCTTCCTTCTGTCTGCCCCTTTAGACTCCAAGCAGAACGGCGATGCCAGCGCGGTGCTGTCAGACGAGGAGGGAGCCGGCCTCACCCAGCCCCTGGCCTCCGCCCGCACCCCGGAGGAGCGCCGGGCCCTGCGACGCTCCGGCACCCGAGACAGAAACAAGAAGGCAGCTGCCTGCTTCCTGCTCAGCGCTGGGGACTTTGCCTGTGCCGATGGTAGTGTCCGGAAAGGTATGGCTCCCCAGGCTGGGCAGGGGGTTAGCCCCCACGGAGCTGAGTCTCCCCAGTGTCCCCCATGGAGCTTGAGGTCTCCTCCTCCTCTGAGGCCATGGACACCATCTCCTCTGCCTCGGATGCACCCTCGCTTTTAGGATGGGTCCCCCGATATTCCAGTTCCCGGATTAGAAAGGCCTGCAGCATCCCCAGAAGATACACAGAGCCCCCTGGGTTCCCCCAGGAGAAGACAAGTGCTAGAGGGTGAGGGGACCCCAGATCGAGGCTCCAGCCGCCCCCTCCATTTTATTGCCTCTCTTCCTCTGGTTCCTGCAGTGGTCTTCAGGCCTGGCTTCTCATGGCCATTGCCAGCCTTCCCCTAGGCCTCCCTTAAACACAGCTCAGGCTTCCCCGAGTAAGTAGTCCTGGGAGATGCCAACACACTCAGGAGTCAGGGTAAGAGTGGGGTGCTGGTGTGAGGTCTTCAGAGAGCCTGGCTCAGGCCCCACCTCCTCCGTCCTGCACTGGGGGTTCTGCAGCCGAAATCTGCAAGCCCCTGAGATGGAACTGTTCACTCCGGGTAGAGCCAGAAGGGTGACCAGGGGGAGGGGTGGACAGGGAGAGTGGTTCCCCTCTGAAGTGCGTTCTGAAGGATTTGGCAAGTTCAAGGGAAGGCTGAAATGCCATCAGCAGACCCCATGCAGAAGCTGGTCAGTGGAGCTAGGGATTCCTGGCCTGAAAAAGTGGGACCGAAATGATTAGGGATGGTTGAGAGCCAGTGGTGGCTGAGAGCCAGGGCTCTTAAGGCCAAGTGTCCCTTCTGCCCAGCTCCTCGTCACTTTTTTGTTTTTCCTGCCTTGTCGCTGTGACCTAATCTCTCTAAACAGCCTGCCTAGTTTCAGGATAAACCCCAACTCTCCCCGCTAAAAGCTCTTCCCTGGGTTTGCAGGCCACTTCTTAACTAACCTTCTTTCAGCCCAACACCCCGTCGCCACTTCCCACCATCCCCAAACCCCAGACCAAAGGCAGGTTGAGTGAGGCAGGGGCAGTGGCTGCTGTAGGAATAGCCTGTGATGTCTCTGTCCCCCCAGGGATGTCCCTTGGCCTGCCCAGCCCAGGCAGCCTCCAGGGATACCTTCCCAGTCCCTTTCCCTGGCTTCCTCAGCGCCACTGTCCCCAAGGGATCCCCAGGGCACCCTGACCCTAACCAAGACCTGAGAGGTGTGCATCCTGCTTTGCTGGGCACGTGTCCTATTGGGTGGCAGAAGCAGGAGCAGCAACCTGGAACCTGGAGGTGGCCCGGAGGCTCAGCTAAAGGGCTGCAGATGGACGGTGCTCAGACTCCTTACACCCTCTTCTGTGTTCTTCTGGTCAACCCTGGCCTCTGTGTGTAGCCCACTCCTCGGGCTCTGGATGTGCCTCTCCCTCCTGCCCCACCCCAAACGTGCTGTGGCTTCCATTGTGTCCTAGTTCAGACCCAGAGTCTTGCTCTGGCTGGAGCGCGCTAAGTGGATGGTGTAGAAGGTGGGGTGAAGGGGACCCCACCCCCCACGTAGGACTTGAGCAAACAGAACTGAGTCCTGATCACCCCTGTTTTCATCCAGAGTGGTGAGGGGCTCAGTGGAAGTGGTGGTGCGCAGGAGGCTGTGAGCTTGCAAGTCAGAACAGGGACCATGAGGGCCTGGGGAACAGGTCCCATCTAAGGAGGAGACTGTGTGTGTGCACGCATGGGGCTGGGGAGCCTGCGTCCCACCATGTCGTATCTCTCTGGCTGCTTGTGGGGCCCGGCTGCTCTATTTTCAAGATGCCTCCACACTGCTTCTTGGCAATAAGCATGTAGCTCAGCCAATTAGAGTGACCTTCGAGAGGGAACAGGTGGGTTGCTGGGAAACAGGCCCTGCTAAGCAAGCGTGGCAGTTAGCATCGCCAAACTCCCAGTGCGCGCTCGGCAACTTTCCCCGTGCCAGACCACGCCACACTTCTCTGCACTTGGGCTACATTCAGGCCCAGGCCTCCTCCGGCCACCAGCACAGACCCCATGTGACCCTGTAGGTGCATGTGACTGAAGGTGAACTCCCTGGAAGGAAAGTGGTGAGTGCTAATTAGGGCGTCTTAGGGTTGAGTAAGGAGGGTACTGAGGGCTGTAGGGGCTTCATGCAACTGGAGGGAAACCTACCTGGGGACAATGATAGGGCAAAGGTCAGCTGAGTGTGGGGCCCAGGGGTCCATCCAGAGACCAGAGAGACTCAGGGAGCCTTTCCCAGGGGGACCAGACCCTTCCACCCAGTCCCGGGGCTGCCCGCCCTGTAGGGTCCCCGGAACGTGGATCCCATGGAGCATCTCAGGCAAGGAGCTGTGCCCCTCTGACCCACGTGCCTTTTCTTCACCAAGGCTGTGAAAAGTCCCGGAGCCTAAACAGCACAGCAGGAGCTGCTGGAACCAGTCTGGGGCTATCTCAACTGGCATCGCGGTACAGCTCACCCTACCCCCCCAAGAAAGCTTCTGCTCGCCCACCCCTTCCACGCCCTCCCCAGCCCACCCCCTGGACACTCAGCCCCGTAGCTGCACCCTCGGCTCACCCCGCCCCTGGGCGCACGCGCACAAACAGGCACACTCACATGCCTCCAGCCCTCGTCCCTCCTGGGCCTGCGGGAGACAGCGGGATGCAGGAGAACTCAGGCCCCCAGGCCTCTCCTCCACAGCACCCAGCTCCCCAAAATGTCCAGCTCTGGGACCTGAGAGTGAGGGAGAGATTACTTGCAGGCCTTCTATCCCGCTCGCTCCCGTCCTGAGCTGAGGGTGCCGTCACCCCCAGGACTGTGTCTCTGGGCCCTGCCTCCCCCGCAGGGTCCCACCTAGATCACAGCAAATGCATTTCCATCCCTCGGGGCCTTCAACAAGTAACCAAACAGCCTGCAACTGAACATCTCTGTCTGTCTGTCTGTCAATCCCACACCCAGACCGGCCAGGAATAAGGCTGTCCCCTGGGGCATCTCTGCCAGTGTGTGAGGGCTTGACTCCTTGGGGGAGCGGTGCCACCTGATGTTCTCCAGCCCTGCCATGGGGTGCAGGTGGGAGTTCCTAGAGTCAGAGCCCAAGGATTGGCTGCGTAGGCGCGGGGATGTCCTCCTCTCGGGGTGGCGCCCAGCAGCGGAGCCCAGCATCCCATCTGCACCCCGAGCTGCAGTATCGCTTGCCACGCTGCTTCCTCTGCTTCCCCGACAATTCTTCTTCCTCTGCTGCTCCCTCCAACTCCCAGCCCTGCCTCTGAGTCACCTGCCGCTCCCACCCAGCCTCTGTGCTCTGTATCGCTGCCAGAACCGGAGACTCATCTAATTTCTATAATTAAGTGTATTCATTTACCTAACGAGCCAGGGAGCACACAGGTCTGTGAGTCATTGAGTGAGCAGGGGTGCACCCTGGGCAGGGGCAGCTGAGGGGAAGTGTAGGGACTGAAGCCATCCTGCCCCCACCAGCTCGCTGACGGGCAGCCTGCCGCGCCCAGGGTGGGCCGAGCCGCAGGGGGCCCCTCCCCAGCGCACCAGCCAGGCTCTCCAGGACCTCCTCAGCCCAGGAACTCGGAACACCTCAGCCAAGGCATTGCCTGTTTCACCTGATGGGAATTAGACCTGGCAGCGGAGCCGTGTGCCTGGCAATTTTTAGAGTCAGATTATGCAACTTGGTCGAGGGAATGACTAAGGAAGGTCCATGTCTGCTCCTTCCAGAGTGGGCAGAGATAGGTACCGCCAGACAGCATTTTGGGACTTGGCAGGAGGCTGGGGACTCTGGAGGCCACCCCAAAAGGTGAGCTGGGCGGAAAGGTCAGACTGTTTCATGGGGTTGGAGGGTTGATGAAGAGCCTGTTCCAGGAGCATCCCCATTTCAGTGCCTTCTTCAGCCTTGGGCAGACACAGGAGTATCCCTTCCAGAAAAGTCTGTGCAAGGTGGGTCCTCGGCTCCCCCAGCCCTGCTGTGGTCTGTGGGGCCTGCCTCCTGCTTGCTCTCAGAATGACGAGAAGAAGAGCTGAGAAGATACAGGGGCATCCATGTCACTGCCCCTCAGAAGGGGACACGGAGAGGGAAGCCCTGGAGAGCAGGGCACCTTCTACCCTTCCAGCCCAGTCTGAGAACCCAGCTTCTCCTCCAGGGGGATGGGTTCGGTCCTGCTCCGGCCGGGCTCCCTGGTGCAGGGGTCCTGGCTCTGACACGGACACAAGGAGCTGGGTGTCCGGTGTAGCACGGGCACCACAGCTGTTTTCTCCTCTCACTTGCCTTTCTGGTTCAGGGAACTGAGGCGGCTATTTCTGTGGCAGCCCTCAAGTTGTCAGGAGCCCAAGTTTCCACGGCACCCACCGCCTCCTTCCCTCTCTTCCCTCCCACAGGGACGGGCATGCTCACGGCACCCCCGTGGTGGGCACAGATGTCTCTGGGCGACATGATGCAGGAGTGCCAGGCTGGAGCCCCTAGTGCCTTGGGAGGTGGGCTCCCACACACCCCTCCTGTCTCTCTGGCTTCTGTAGGGTTGACACAGGATTGAGCGTGAGCTGACGGGAGAGCTGAGTAGGCTGCCTGCCCCAGCTCCCCTCAGGGCCCTCGGAAAGGGCAAAGTGAGCCCTGGAGTTTACAGAGCCCCACTGTACACCAGGCCCCGCCTGGGGAGGCGGCTGCCTGCATGGCCCTCAGGCTTGCCCAGGCCTTGGGCCTCCCTCCTCAGGAGAGGGCTCTCCCTCCCACCCACAATCTGAGAGTGCAGTTTGCTTTACCTTGGACCTGGACTTGGACCTCCACCCATTACTTTGGCTTCTAACAGCCTTTCCCCTGCAGTTGGGGCCCAGCCGCTCCCCGTAGAGCAGGGAAGCAGCCCGCTTAGGAGTTGTTACACCTCCAGTTTGTACCAGGGCTGCTGACAACCCTAGAGGCCACTTCTCAGCCCCCAGGGCTTCTGAGAGGGGTGGCTGGGAGCTGGAGCCAGAGGGGAAAGTACCTGTTCAGCCCAGAGCCCAGACTGCATGGGAGTCAGAGGGGAGGCTGCATAACAGCTCCGGCTGCCCTTTCACAGAGCTTCCTGGAAGACGAGGGCCCCCTCTGCCCTGGCCAGAGAACATCGCCTTCTCTGGCATAATGCCTGCCCCCACAGCAGCCTCCTGCCTGCCCTGCCTGTGCCCCAGTTGAGAAGGTAGGGCAAGGGAAGGCCCAGGCCACTGCCGTCCCAGGCTGAGGAGGAGATGCCGAGAAGGGCTCACTGAGGGGTTGGGTTTCCTGCTGTCTCTCCTGAGATGGGCACAGTCGTCCTTCCTGACCTTCCCCTTCAGCACTCACCCTCCAGCTGCTGGGACTCTGTTCCTGCCAGATTGAGGAAGGGGACTGGGCATGACACGGCAGCACACTCAGGAGCCTTCCTCACCAGCTCCCTGGGACAATGGACTAGCCCCAGGTGGTGACAGCAGATGGAGCTATGTCAGGGGGGAGCACAGGCTGGGCAGGCAGCAGCCCAGGTGATGGCCTGTGGGCTGTGAGCCACCACCCTGCCAGGAACCTCTCCCACTGCCTCCATGCCAGGCTGCAGAGCTGTGGTCCCTCTTCCCACTGCACTGCAGCTTTGAGGACCTGAGGTCTCCTGGTTCCTGGAGCTCATTACCTAACAGGCACGGAGATAAGCTGTAACATCACCTATGGGTCACCGTGGCCCAGTGCTGGGTTGGCAGAGGGGTGATGAAGGGCTCACCCCCTTTCCTCCCCGTCCCCACTCTTCCTGGACTCTTAGCTCTGGGCCCCACACCTTCCAGCTCCGCTCCTGGCCTACTCCTCAACCCACTGCCTATAGGTCAGCAGCTGCCTTCCTTCTAACATCTCGTGTTTTGTTTCTCCCTTTCTTTTGCTGAACTCCTTACCCACCAACTCCCCCAAGAAGGCAATGTTGAGCCGAAAGTGTGTGTCCAAGTGTCTCACACCTGTGCTCTTTAAACACAGAGACCTGCCAAGATGCCCTCTCGTCCAACTATGCCCAGGCTGAAGTCCTCACCCTCTCTTAAAGCGGCACCAACGTGAGAGAGACAGGCAGACAGACAGAAAGCCAGAGGCTTAGGGCAGCTCTGGAACCCAGGCAAGAATCTTTCGCTGGGAAAGACTCAGATATCCTTGATTGCACAGGACTGATGGGAAACCTCCCATGTGACCCTCGGGGCCCAGAGCCATTGGGTCTGATGTTCTTGTTCTGTTGTACATTGAAGAGATATATATGCACATATAGTGTCTATATTCATACATACTATACTATTGTGTGTAGTGCATGTGCTCTTGGTGGTCTGTCTTCTTCATTAGGCTGTGTCTCCCCAGGCCCTCGCCCCACCCCCACCCTCACTCCCTTCCCCCTCACTGATTCCTTGTTTCTGCTGAATATGTGTGTGGAATATCCCAGGAAAAGTGTACCTGGGAACTGCCAGTCCAGCTGGGTGGTCCCCGGCTAGACTCTCCCTCTTGGGAGTGTTTCCCCTGTGGTCCAGAGGCCTGCGGAAGGCCAGATTGCCCCCTGGGGTCACTGCTCCACTAGCCTCACCCCATCCCAGATTGGGGCTCTACCTCCCACCCCACGCCCCAGTTGTTGGGGGACTTCCCGGGGCTCCTCTGCACCTTCTTCCACTCCTTTCTCCACCTTCCCTGTGTCCTTGACTGAGGGGGTGTTTCGTCTTTTTTTATTTCTGGTTTTTTGTTCTGTCGCCTTCGTCCATTTGTTTCCAAAGATGCTGCTGGGCGGACGGGCAGGGAAGGGGTCTGTCTGCCCACCTGGCTCAGGGGTCCAAGAAGGGAACGCTGCGGGCGAGCGGGGACCAGTTGCAATACAGTACTTCCTGGCTAGTGGCCAGAGTATGCGTGCAATAGCCGAGGCCAGGTGCCCCCTTCGACCTTGGCCTCTGCCCCTGCGTCGGCCCTCCCTCCCCACTCCCAGCCCGCCCTGCCCCTCCCTAGTGTTGGTTGTCCTTTTCTAAAGCTGTCCCCTCGTGTGTCTGAGGCATGCCTAGGCTGGGCCCTGCCGCCCTGTCTGCATGCCTTTGACTGTCATGCTGTGCTCAAGCCCCAATAAAGACATCTGGAGCGTCCTGCCGTGCTCGCTGTGTGAGTGACTGCCTCTGCCTCTCCTTTCTGTATCTGTGGGGACCTCCCCGGGCTTCCCCCACCCCCAACACCTGAGAAATGCAACACACTCGTAACCCGCCCCCACCAGGAATCACCAGTGCAGCCCAACCCCTGCATTTAGAGCCAGACATGAAATGCTCGAGATGAAAAGTGATCTGGCCAAGGTCGTGCCAAGAGGACTAGCCTGGGACCCCGGGCTTCTGGGCAATGATCTCCACTGCTGCCACCGCCCCACCACCACCCCCAGCAGTAACATGGAAGAAGAGACTGTTGTTTGTTTAGGGGGTCCCACTGTATTCCTGCTTGTTTTGCAGGGGGCATCTTCTCTTCCCTGAAATTGCACCAGTTCTATGTTGGCCAAGGCCCTGGGGATGCCGAAGTCGTTGTGATGACTGGATGGATGGCTGATGAACTGAGGCCGACAAGGGGCTGGGAGCACAACTGGGACCACTTAGGGCTGGGGAGTGAATGGTCCTGGGCCTAGATAGGATGGGGGTGGTGGTGAGTGATGCTCAGACGTCATCCCTCGCTGTTGTCCCTGTCACACTCACACAGGGGAATGAGCAGGGCTGGCTTCAGGGCCGTGCCACCTGTGCAGTCACTCAGAAGGGCCCACAACCGACTTAATGCTCAGCCGTTGCTGTCTTGAAGTTACTGATAATTATTGAAGAAGGGCCCTGTGTTTTCATTTTGCACTGGGCTCCGCGGATTATGTAGCCAGGCCTGGGCACATGTGTGCTCTCTTTACTCTTTATCCCAGGTGTAAGCTTAGCGTCAAAGGGGCCTCAGTTCAGGGTCTTGATCTGCCACTTCCTAGCTGGGTCACTTGGGGCAACTTGCCAAACCTCAGTTTCCCTGCCTGTAGGATGGGGATAATGATAGCCCCTGTCTCAGAGCCAGTGAGCGTAAAGGGCTGGCCCAGTGTCATCTGTCTGCATATGGCATGCAGTAGATGCACGGTAAGTGTTAGCTCCCTCCTCACCCATTTCCTGTTGCTCTCAGCTTTTCTCCCCAGATTTCTGAGATTGCCTGGTCCAGTCACACCAGGAAAGGACAGGAGCACACCAGGGAGCAGGGGGTGAGGACGGCAGGGCTGAGGGGAGGGGAGAAGTACGGGGAAGCCTGTCCCTGAAGCAAAGAGAAAATCGCACTTGGAGCCTGGGCCAGCAGAGGCAAGGCGATGGCAGGCAGCCAGTTGTCAATTAAAGATAAAATCTCTCCTCCAGCAGTGGAGGGCAAGTAGAGGCTACGGCTCCCCCAGACAGGAGGAAGCCATTTGCAGCCAGGCTCGCCTCAGAGAAGCTTGACCTGGCAATAAGGGGACGGGATGCACTGCCGACTCCATAACGATATTACGCATCAGGGCCCATGTCCAAAATGGGGTTTGGGTATTTTGGGGTTTTTTTCTTTTTCTTTTACTTTTTTTGTTGTTGTTGATCAATGTGGAACCGTTTCATGGTCAGGGGCTGAGAACCCAGCAGGCTGCCCAAGGGTACCCAATGCCAGGGGGGCTTGAGGGGACCCAAGGAGATGCAGTTGGGGTCCCCGGTGACACCCTCAGACCCCTGGAGGGGGAAGGGGAGGGGGCAGTGTGCAGGAGGGCAGAGTTCAGTGAGAGAAGCAGGGGACCGCCCCTCCTCCCCACCTCACAGAAACAGCAGACAATGCTGTCAAGGAAGCAAAGGCTCTGGCTCCCTCTGGTCCCCGAAGCTGGAGTGGGACCCAAACTAGGGAGCTGGTTAAAAGAGCAGGATGCTATAGTGATGGAGACTGACTCTGGGAGTCTGACTCATGGCTCCTTCACTTCCTGATTATGTGACTTTGGGTAAGTTAATTAATCTGTGTGAACCTCTATTTCCTCATCTGTAAAATGGGAGCAATAATGGTATCTACCTCATGCAGCTATTGGGAGAGTTCAGTGAGGCAGGGCCTGTGACACCCTCAGCACAGCGCCTAGCACAAAACATTGTTTACAAATATTTGGCTGGGGGAGCAACTCTCTCCAATGACAAATGACCGGTTTGGTTTGATGGCCTCACGTTTCAGATAGGTACCATGAATTCGCCTCATTTCGATGAGCCCCTTATCTCCCTGTGAAGGAATAAGAGTCGGGGTGATAATACCGAACAGCTAACCTTTCCTAAGTGCCAGGCAATACATCTAATGCTCCTAAACACCCATCCTGAGCTTGGTGTTATCATCCTTGTTTCAGAGGAGAAAACTGTAGCACAGCAATGTTAGGTCATTTCTCCAAGGTCACACAGCCAATAAGCGGTAAAGCTGGGATTTGAACCCAAGCCATCTGGCTCTGTGAGCCCTACATTTAGCTGCTGTCTAAATGGAATGAGGCTTCTAGGTCATCATACCTAAAGTATAGATTTGTGCTTTTTAATGTTTTTAATTTCCTTAACCTCTGTTGATTCTCATAGCAAAGGTATTGTTTTCCCCCTTTTATAGGTAAGAAAATCAAGGCTTGAGGAAGTAAGTGATTTGATCATGCCGCCACACGCACACAGAAAAGGGAGAAGGATGTCTTCTCAGCCTCATTAATTAATTAGCATAAGGTAACACCCAACTGAAGGAGTGATTGGTTCCTTCCTTCTGCAACTCACTGAGTTTTATTTTCTGATGCTCAGAAGGGAGGTACTTGGATGGGGACTGGTCTGGAAACCAAGTTACGTGAGGAGCAGCTCAACCTGGAAATGGCTTATTGGAAATTTGATGGGGATCAAGTTCACGTATTTGAAGGGTATCAGAGGGGAAGTAGGTTTAGATTATTCTCTGATCCCAAAGAGCAGACCTAAAACCAGTAGGTGGAAATGTTAGGAAGGCAGATTGGCTTCAAATCAAGAAAAACCTGACTTTTTTGTTTTCCTTGCCATTACAAATTTAACACGTGGTACTGAAAGCATCCCAAACCAAATCAACTGGGAAGCCTTATCGCCCCCCTCAATCCCACTGTCCTCCCTGGAGGTGACACTGTTAACCTCTGGTGTTGGGTCCTTCCAGGCCTCTTGGAAAAGAGAGGCTTCCTAACAAAACTCCTGAAGGAATGGGCTGTCCTGGAGTGGAGTTCCCATCCTGGAAGTTTAGAGACACCCCGAACGATCGTGTGCCGGGGGTTCGTGGCAGGAATTTCTGCTCAGCCTGGAAGGTGGAATTAGAAGGCCCCTTCCAGTTCTAAGATGGTCTGACTTACATGGGGCCACACAGCTGTTAATGGTGGGGACAGGTCCAGAACCCAGGTCTTCTGAACAGGACTCAGATAAGCTCCTTTCCCAGCATGATTTTCCTCAAAGTCCTTAACTCTAGGGTAGAAGACTCCCTGTCTGCCTCTTCCCTGCCCCTCTGCACAGGCTGGAGCAGAGACCGGCATCTGTGGTGCATCCAGTCCAGAGTGACTCGGTGTTGACGACATGCACCCAGCGCCCACCCCTATAGCCCCCAGGGTCCCCGACAGCGTCACCACAGTGAGCACCCGCCTTCACCTCCCAGCTGCAGGCCTCTGAGCATGCCCACCCTGGTACCCACACAACAGGGGGCACACGAGCGGGCTCAGTCACCTCAGGCTGTGGTAAGCACACCCATGCCGCAACTGCCTGTGTTGTTCCAGAGGCCGGCGAGGGCTGCCAGGGGTTCTGGGACCTGCTCTCTCCTGGGAGACCACAGTTGGCTTTGAACACAGCATCATGGGCTGAGAGGGAGCCAGGAGGACAACTGTGGCTCCAGGTCAGAGGGGCCTTCTGCTGTTGGTGCTGGAAGCCTCTCCTTTCCCCATAGCTCTGTCGGGCCCCCGCCCGCCATACTTGCCTACTTCTAGGGCTATTCCATAAAAGTCTCCTGGAACTGCAGGGCTGTGCTTTTTGCTGACTTAGGGTCTCTGCTTCCTAACTCACAATACCTGGTGTGGAGAGAGGGCGTGGCCCCTCTCCCTGAGGCTGAGCCAGAAACTGAGGTGTCATCATTAATCCCGCCCTCTCATTCCTTAATTCAGCTCACTCGCCGTGCATTACATCTGTATTAAATGCCTATACTCTGTCCTGGGGAACCAATAGTGAACAAGACCAATGGAATCCCTGCCCTCATGAAGCTTACATTCTAATAGGGGAGGTAGGCCAAAAGACCAGTAGATTAAAATATCTAACAATACCCCGCCCCCATTCCAAGCCATTAGCGAGTTCTATCATTCCAAGCTCTGAAATGTGTTTCACACGTTCTCCATCTCCCACTCTCTCCCCTCCAACTCTGAAGGTGGGCTTCATCTCCTCTTTCCTGGTCTCCCTGGGTCCCGCTGACATCTACCACCCAGCCTCCACCCAGCAGAGAGCGCTTCTTAAAACAGAAATCAGATCGTGCTACCCCTGACTAAAACCGTCAGTGGCTGGATTCCCACTGTATTTCGAACAAAATCCAAACTTCTTCAAAGAAAGGCGAGCCCTCAAGGCCCTGCTGTTCATCAGGCCTCTTCCTGCCTCAGCAAATCATTCCTGCCCCTCCCTCTGCCCCCCGGGAAACTTTCTCACACGTGCCAGCCTCTTCCCCCTTTAGTAGTTTACACATGCTGTTCCCTCATGTGGACCACTGTGCCCCACCTCTCCCGACCCCTTTGATTGGCTGAGTTCTCACTCTTTGGGTCCGGCTTTAAGTGTCTCTTCCCTGGTGATTTCCCCCCCCCCCCCCGCCCCCTGCCCCCTGCCACTACCTCTGTGTTGTTTTCTGTCACTGCAGCTGCTCATTTTTTTTCATGGTACTTTCTTCCTCGTAACTGTATTTGTCTATTGCCTGCCTTTCTGTAAGTACCTGGGGCCGAGCACCGTGTGAAATAAATGTTTTATGAATGAATGAAGGGGCAGAGGTGGGCCTGGCATGAGTAAGTGCTCAACTGTGTCCTCCCTTATCCCTCCCAAATGTCTCCGGCTGGCACCTCACTTCTAGGGCGTTCCTGCGAGTCCTTGGGGAATAA